CTATCCTCATTATCCTTATATCCGGCGTATAAGATGACCCCCCCCCCCACTTTAGCCACAGATTTTGCAGGTAAAAAAGTAGTCTTATACGCAGGAAAATAAGGTAGGTTTTCATTTAATTCACTGCACAATGTAAATTTTATATCCTTAGACCACATTTTCCCCATACATCCATATTATAAACATTACACCCAAAATGTTGGGCCCATCTTATCATATACTCTTTCACAGCCTTCATCTTCTGTCTCTAGTTTCAGAAGCCATTTATACACTTCTTTACATGGTCATCATCTCTACACTACTCTAAATTAAACATTTTCTCTAACCTCTATGGCTGCATTTCTCTAGTTTTGATTAAATCTGTCCTTAAGTTGCATATATGCAGACCAATTGAGATCTTTGCCTTCCTTAAGATTCATCTCTCTTCATTTAAACTTCCAACTGTCTTGTTCAAGATAAAAAAAGTCATGGTAAAGCAACCATCTCCCATTTTTAACCCATTCTTTGCTTTAAAAGGCTTCCTGTGGTAAAGTCGATAATATTATCTAGGAAAAAGTATCTGTACATATACCAAACTCTTAGGAGAGGCTTTCTATTACAGTGATTTTAAAATGCAGCATGTTCCTTAACTTTATCATACCAAAGAATTGTACCAAAGATAACGCTGTCAATCAAATCTTAAATTATGAAGCAATATGCATTCCTTCAACCATACAAAACAACAAGCTTCAAAATTCAATCTGACATTAGGGACTCCCAAGTCACCCCTTTCCTTTGCATTGTCCAGTGTTTTAAATTTTATTCTGGGTTTCTTTGCCTGCCAGATAAATCTGGAAATCTCTTTTCTGCCATTGCACAAAAGTTATTCCGTTCCTTATACTAGGGATCATTTGAAAAAGAAATAGAAGCCTCGGCAAGACATTTGCTTTTATTACTGCAATTCTACCCAAAAGGGATAAATTTAACTTTCTCCATTTTTCTATTCTTTAAAAAAAATTTCAGTCTTTTTCATAGTTGTTATGAAACTTGAGTTCTGCTGTTCTCATGAAGTCTCTTCTTTCTTTTCTTCCTTGACTTTTAGAGCTTAGAGGTGAGCGCAACATGTTTGAAAGCTTTTTTCAAAGAAAATAAAAGTTTGAAGGAGATTTGGAGCCCCCTTTTGTTACCTGTAGGTTAGGATCAGAGACTGTTGTTTTCTGTTTCATTTTTGCTTGTATAGATCAGAGGCTTGATATATACTGATGGTGCTAAATAAAGTTGTGGTTGTTAGACTAATATGATTGATACTATCAGAAAAATTCACTGGGTAAGATCTACTTTTTCCATTTTGGTTTGACTTATCAGAGTAGGGACCATGATATGTTGGCTGTACCTGTGCTAATCAGTTTGCTAAACGCTTGCATTTTATATACTTTAGATAAAATGCCAGGTGTGTTTGTTTGTTTTTTACCATGGGTTGACACACAAGAAAATTAAAAGTGCATTGTTGATGGAGGCAGAGAGATTTAGATTTTGTTTTGGAACTTGTCACTGTAAACTGTGAGAAATTATCTAACCTGGAAAGGCTCTTGCTATTTGCTGCTACTGTGGGTAAATAAAAGGGGCTTTCCACTGTCCTTGAGATGAATGTGAAACAGGGATTGGCAGTGTGAAAAAGACCTGTATACATTAGGCTTCCTTCCCATGTGCCTAGTGAATGAGATTATCTCTCCCCTGCCCACCCCCGTCGGCTGCCCTCCAAAATGAAGCAGTACTTGCCAACAATGAATTTTATCTATTATTTCAATGCCTACTTCCAGTCCTTATACTCCTCACAGGCTGCTCTGGGTTTAAATATATATATTTTAGGTGGTGTTTTTTTCATATATCATCCATTGGTAATTTGCAAGCACTAGATCAATGTGTTCAAAAGCACAGTTCCATGCTACATCTCCTACAATCTTTCGGCCAGCTGATTTTCCATTGGTGCCTGTTTGCTTTAAAAGTAAATAAATCCTGTACAACTGTCAGAGATCCTTGTCTAGCTTACCAACATATAGAAGGGCAATATTTTTTTCAGGGTTTTTCTGCCTTTCACAAAACCTATACCCATTCTTTCCATTTTTGCTATGTTGCCTACAATCATTTTCTCCTTTAATTGTAGGGTGATAAATTGCAGCTTTGCCAAAGCCTCTTGGCAATTGAAAACCAGTCTATTTCTCAGTAGCTTGTTGTACTGAATACAGGTTATGCATCAGGATAATCAAATGTTCTGGCATACATTTCTTTAAGAGTGATCTATAGATTTTCATAATCTATACAATCAAAGGCTTTGTTATAGTCTATGAAGCACAGGCTGATTTTCTGTTGAAATTTTTGGTGCACTCCTTTATGCAACATATGTTTGCATTATGATCGCTAATGCTGCTTCTTTTCCTGAACCCAGCTTAGACATCTGGCATTTATCACTCCATATATGGTAAGGGACTTTGCTGTAGAATTTTGATCATTACTTTGCTTGCATGGGAAATTAATGTGGTTACTGCAATCCCTGGTATTCCTTTTCTTTGGGATTGTAATGTATATTGAACATTTCCAATCTGTCAGCCATTGTTTTGTTTTCCATATAGACAGATTTTAATTAAAACTGGAATTGAATCTGTCTCTGTAGATTGAAGCAGCTCTGCTAGTATGCCATTTGTTCCTGTGATTTATTTCTCCCAAGTGCTCTAAGTGCAGCTTCCACTTCACTTTTAAAATTGTAGGTTCATCTTCATATGGGTCTTCCTCAAATTAATGTGTCACCTTTTCATCTCTCTTATATATATATATATATATAGCATCCCTACTTTTGGTTTAGATTTCCCTTTGATTTCATGGATCTTGTGGAAGAGATCTCTTGTTCTTCCTTTTTTGTTGGCTAGCTTCTATTTCTCTGCATTTATTATTATAGTAGTTCTCCCTGTTCTTATGCACAAGTCTCAGAACACTTGCATTTAGGGTTATGACCCTATTTTTGTCACTTTTCATTTTTCCTTTCTTCTTAATTTTTCATTTCCCAAGTAAAACATTGTGTAATTATCTGACTCAGAATGTCCCATTCCTGTCGACTTTAACTCATTCACCTCAGGTATTCCAATGTTTATGTGTTCCATTTCTTGTTTTACTGTGTCGAGCTTCCCCTGATTCATTCTTCTTATATTCATGTAATATGTGTTGTGCAGCTTTGGACTTTCCTTTTGCCTCTAAGCATATTTACAGCAGAACTTCCTTTTGGCTTGAGTCCAGTTATGTCATTAACTACTCATAGTGGCCCTCTGCTCTACCCCAGTAACTTGATGAGTGCATCTTGACATTATATCTTGGTTTACTTGCATTGTCTCATTGTAGGGTTTCTGTGGTTAAAAAAAAAAAAAAAACTTCAAGAAGGGGTTTACCATGTGTCCCACTGCTTAGTACTAACAAGTGTTAGCGATAGTATCACTATTGTTTCTGAGAGATCCTTCGCCACTGTCACCCTTCACTACTCCTGCTGCTCAGGAGCTGCACTACTACATAGTAAATTATGAAAGAATAGATAACTGAATGCTGAGGTGTTGCTATGTTCTGAGAAGGGTAGGCACTGTTATATGATGGAAGCGAAGATTCAGAAAGGGATTTTTGATGGAAGGGCATATCAAACCCTTATTCTCTTATTTGATGCACACCTGTTGAGAATATAAACTTTGTAGGCCACTAATTTTTGTTGTTGTTGAAATGGTGTAGTGGGGAACCGGCTTAAGTATTCTTATTTCAATTGAAGTATTTTGACTGTTTCGATCTCAATTCTATGAACATTTCATTTTTACAGCCAATTTGCTCGATTGTTGCAATAAATGAATGTATGTGAAATAGTTGGATGGTTGCTTTGTGCTTTCTAAAAAGCTGTTCATATTTGGAACTGCTGGATTTCCTTTAGTAGTTAGCTAATGATACAGTTGGGAAACATAAAGGCTTTGTCGTTTTCTTTTCACTACCCTTTTCAATTAACAGCATATTATTTCTGCTTGAAAACTACAGCATGCCTCAGAAAAAGGTAGAAGTTATCTTTTGAGGTGGCACAAATGAAGCAAAGTACTATAATCCATTAGGTTATATCTTGAGCAGAAGGTATTTCTTAACACTTATTTTTTAAATAGGGGAGGTTAGCATGGATCAAAGATAGTGTTGGTTTTGCAAATGGATGCAGTTTTGAATCCCTAGTTAACTATGAGACCCAAAATATTTCAACAGGTCTATTTCAGAGTTATTGTGAGGAGAACAACCCTGTGTATCTTATCCTTAGTTCACTGAATGGAGAGTAGCTATTGAAAGTAAACTTGCATATCAACTGTGTTATGAAATAAATCAAATTGGAGCACTAAGGGGCAGGGGGATACTGTTGTACCAATGAACTATAGGTACAGTGCACCCACCCCAACTGTGGGCTTTCCATCTGTGGATTTGAACAGACGGCAAACCCCATTGACTTCAGTGGCTGTGCATGAACATAGTGCTGGCAGAGCGGCTGTGCACACATGCACCACCATTGAATACTATAAGACTTGAGGTCCCACAGTGTTTGCCATCTGCGAAGCCCCCACAGATGAGAAGGGCCCACTGTATATGTCATTTCTGATCAAGAAATTAAAGCAAGTCCCAGAGTCTTTTCACACTTCACAACTGTAAGCGCTATATTTCACTTAAACTGCCATGGCTGCACCCTGTTGAATATAGTTTGATGAGGCACTGGAGCTCCCTGGCTGAGAATTCTAAATGCCCCTTCCTAAACTGCAAATCCCAGGATTCTGTAGGATGGAACTGTGGCAGTGATCCTAGTTCTATAATTATGTAGTACAAAAAGACTGGAGATACGTTGTTGTGGTGGTGGTGGTGTGCATTCACATCATTTCTCACTTATGGCAACCCCAAGACAAACCTATCACTGGGTTTTCTGGGGCTGAGAGTGTGTGACTTGCTCAAAGTCACCTATTGGGTTTCCATGGCTGAGGAGGGATTCAAACCCTGGTCTCCAGAGTAATACTGCAGTGCTCAAACCACTACACCACACTGACTGTGAAATGCAATAAATGATGATATGGTACACATTTGTCTTGTAGATACTAAATTGGCATTTTGCTTCAGACATCTTTTGGCAAGATGGCCTGGTTTTTGATAGAAGTGTTGGGGTCTGTACGTAGTGTGATGCAAAGGCAAGAGGGAATTTGCCCTATGTAGATTTGCTGTGTGTGAATGCGTTCCAACCTTTTATATCCACGTTTCTAGGCTTTGCCAAGTGGCATCATTTTGGCATGGTATTTTATAGCCTCAGAGATGAATTTTTATCTCCCGCCTGTAGTGTTGTACAAGAGTTTTGTTATTTCTTATCCTGCTCTACTACAATAATTGTGTAGTAGTATTGTAGGGATTCTGCAGCCATATAGAGCTTGGCACTCTTCTTGTACACCAAGCTAGACTGTTAAGCCCATCTGCAGCTGTTGCCAGTAGGTGACCTGGGCATGCAGAGGCCGTTTCAGAAGCTAAAAGCAGGATACTGCCAATAGCAGCATCAATCCCAGGCTCATCCATAGCCATGGATTGCTTTGTGGAGAGAATTCATTGTCACCTCACACAGGGAACACTCAGTAGAAGTTTGGCTAAGAATGAAATAATTTGGTTTAGAAGAGGAAAATCCATGAAGCACTCTGAATCTGAGTGGCATCGCTAAAAAGCTGACTTGCTGAAATGAATTTTAAGTTCTAATTTTTAAGTTCAAGCTTTGTCAGTCCTTTATCCTAGAGACCATTAACTCATAACTTGCAAACAAATATGCTACTTGTCATATACTTTTTCTTAATTGCAAATACTTTTTAAAATAAAAAGTTATGCTTACTTTTTTGGAAACTGGTAAAGAGAATATATTTTGGAGAGTTTTTTTTTTAAAGGTAGAGCATGTGATCAATTAGTGAAGACTAGGTTATTACTACTTTATGAAGGGTTGTCTTTCAAAAGTTGTTCTAAATACATGCGCATTGTGATAGATATGAAATTCACATGTCTGTTTCAGAGATGGCATTTTCTGTAAAAACACCCAAAAGCAGAGACCCTATTCACTGCTTACAAGGAATGGAAAACAGTGTTTGAAACATACATGCATCTTCCATATCCAGTATTGGGGGCATGCATTTGAATGTCAATACTAAAGCAAAAAAATACCTTGCAGGAAGCAATCCTTCATTCTCAGTTAAAGGAGCTAATGAGCAAATGTTAGCACCCTACATACAATGGGGCTTATTAATGCAATGGGAAATCAGTTTCTGCGATCACATAAACATAACCTGGAGGATGGAGCAGAGTGTCTGCTTCTGTTTTAGAGCTCTGTTTGCATCTTTCCGTGTTAACTCTTAACAATTTTTTCTCTTTTATTTACATTGCACTCAAGTTTCCCTAGTACAAAAGATTTGCAGGTGCAAATATGTCCTGCCTTCATTAACTTCCCCTCCCCTTTTAAATTTATGTGATTTCAATTTTCCTTCCCTGTACTGTTAATTAGGGGATCCTCTAATCAGTACCATTATCACAGTGGTATTCATGTTTAGGAAAGCTGCTAAACAAATGCTTGCAAAATTGCTAAATGGCTAATTAATGTCTGTTAATTAAGAAAATTGCTCATGGTAACAAACCGTGCCATTGCTGGCAGCAGCTAGAAGGCGAACACTTGTTGAAATTACTAACATGGCAGGTATAGAACATCTGTTCCTCTGCTTTTCCTGAAGTGTGTAGCTGCTGCTCATATTGTACTTACAAGTCTTGTTTGCTTTCCAGACCAATTACAATTTTCTTTTTATTTGAGAGAAAAAATTGCACAAGGAACATGTGTATATTATAGTGTAAATCTGAATATCCGTGTTCCAGAGCGTGTTTCAACATAAACTTCTCATTTCCTGGAATGAAAGAAATTCAAATGGTATTTACTGGCCAAAAAGTCCAGCGCATGCTGTATTGCAAAGTTAAAACTACACTAACTAATTTCCCCCTTTTCAGGCATACATGCCTCTCAGTTAATGATGTAGATGTGTTCCTGAGCATTGCTTCTTTGACAGAAAATTTAGTATCAGAGGCAGAAGTAACACGGAAAGAATAGGAATAGATTCCTGTACTACAAAAAAGAACAGTTGAACGTGTTTCAGCAAACCTTTTACTGAAAATTAGCAAAATATGTGCATGTACAATGCAGCAGCTAGCTTCAGTGAGCCTAGCACTTTGAGCTTTTAGAGATCCTTTGAAGGCTTCTTCCAAAACGCTCCCAGTTATGAATTTTTCTTTTAGCACCCACTTTTCTTATGATTTTGATTTTGGTGACCAAACCTCTAGATGTATTTTTTTTTAACATGTTGGAAGTAGCTAGTGAGACAGGCAATATCAGAATCCCATTTTTTCCTTTCCCACGGTTTGTGTAATTGTTTACTGAAAAGAAGGTGATCCAGTCTGATACCAAAAGACTGTTTCACCAGCTCTCCTCCATCATCCTCCCAATGCTGATGCTGCTAAATAATCTTCCAGTTAGACAGAGGACAAGTTGGAAAGGTTGTTGTTTGGCGGGCTTTAAAAACGTTGTAAAAATGAGTTTATTTAGGTATGTAATCTTCTTGAAGGATGATATTTGAAATCTCAAAATGATAAAATTATAGTTTCACATGTGAAGCTGTTTAAAATCAGGGGCTGGCAGACTAATAAAGTGGGTGTCCCACATAAAGAACTTGAATCAGAGCCAGAATTTCCAAATAATTCCTCCTGCTCCGTCTTACTGGTACCAAACTCATGACCCACACAGCAAGTGAAATCACAAAGTACTTCTGCTATTCTGATAAGAAAATACAGTGGTCAGCAAGTTCTGTATACATTCTTCAAACAATTATCAGAATGCATTTAATGATTCAGACTCATAAAAAATTGAGACAGTATGTTGCACCAGAGGGCTTTTTGTTCAGCTTGCAGAAGCTATATTTTCCAAACCCATATCTTGACCCACATGGCCAAAAGAAATCTGCAAGTTTCTGTTTGTTTACTCAGTTTTCCTGATTAGCATAATTTGAATAAAGTGCATATTAATGTGGACAGATGCCAGGGCACAGTTGGTGGACATGTTGCAATTCTGTGATGCCATGTGTGCAACTTCCAGTATTAGACTAGATGAAGCATTTTTTTAGATATTCTGGAGTTGATTGTGTTAATTGAGATCACAGTTTGCATTTATTAAAAGTACAGCAATGAAAATGTTTGCTCACAGATTATGTGTTTCCACACATTGGACCTAATTTAGTCTGTCCATTGAACAGTGGATCCATTATCAGAGCCAAGCTGCTATTCTAGTAGTGATTTCATTTGTAATTCCAAATCCAAATACTGCAAATGCAGCCGGTCTGAATTCTAATACCGACTTAGAAATGTGATGTGGAAAAAAGGATGAATGTTATTGTTTGACACCTGTTTTTGCTGTCTTTAGAGGAACTGCAGTTGCATTTTCAAACCCATCTGTATAGCCATAGGGACTAGAAACTTAAGCTTTAGATGGACAGGTGCTTGGACACATAATCAACAATCCTCTTTGCCTGTCTTCTTTGGTTTATAATAATTCTTACAATGTGCTTGATAATTTATTGATTCCCTCTCCCCACCCCACTTCTCAAAGTTTGCAGTGTGTAGAAACAAACCGTTTGCTCCCTATAAAGTTTCACCAGCTTGTCCTTTTTAAGCCAGCTATTTTCCTGCACATTTTTGTGCCTTGACCTATAACTACCTTCTACTATCTAACCTCACAGGGACCGCCTGGCTCTCAGCCCTCGCCACACGCACAGCCTCCACCTCACAACCCCAACAGCATGATGGGACCCCACAGTCAGGTAAAGACCTTGCAGGGCACTGCTGTGATATTTGTGTTCTGTGTGAACTTTTCAAGCATGTAGGAGCCACATCACTCCACTCATTTAACCAGTTTAAGATCCACTAGTTTGTGGAGCTCTGCGGATTTACATGTAGTCAAGATATGAGCCCTCAGTATCGATTTCATTCCACTTCATTCCACCTCCGCTAGGAAGTCTGTTTCTCTTAACTGTGTTTTGTTCCACTGACATTAGATTAGAAAGTAGCTTTCAATTTTAGACATGCTTAATTTACATACGAATATCATTTTTTAATTTTTTTTCCTGAATGGTAGTAGACATTCATTATATGGTTTAAGTGATTGTTTTTACTACTTGTCATTGGAATAGTTTAAATCCTCTCCTCCCCAACCCTTCCTTTCATTTACCAGTTTATGAAAATGAATCCGTTGTTTAGCTGGCATTCTCCTTGTGCTAATTTTAGCAGTTGTACCTAATACTGTCACACTTTATTGAGCCATCTAACCATAAAATGCAACAAATGCCTGAGAAGAGTTTTAGCTTTTGTCTGAGGGTTCTGTCTGTGCAGATACACAAGTTGTGTAAAATGCAGTGTATTAAAATTTTAATCCACTTGGTCTGCAGTCCAGCACAAAATCAGATGTTTGGTCTGAGATGTCTGCAAGTGTGTTTGTGTGTGGAATAAGGAAGGCACAATTAATTTGGGTATTTAAGGTACAGTAGTGAAAGAGTAATCTTCATATTTGCTTCCACAATTGAATCTGCATTGCAACTGAATTTATTTTATATGCTTACAGCCTTTTATGTCACCAAGATACGCAGGAGGTCCCCGACCCCCCATCAGAATGGGAAACCAGGTATTGTATTTCTTCAGTCTCCATATCAAGGTATTTTAAAAGTACAATTCAAGCTTAGACAGACATGAATGAAACTTTGAACACTGAATTCATAACAAGTTTTGTTTTCATCCTTCTTTGCTGAAGGGCTATTTTAAGCATACTTCATCTCAGGTAGCCTTTTGCTGGCAAGAGCACAAATGCATAAATCTTAACAAAGCTTGGGGTTAGACAAAGTATACTGTCTGTAGTCAGGTTCTTTCTTGAGTTTGTGCAAGCTAAGCTATAAGAGGCACACAGATGATGTGTTGAATGAATCACAAAAACATCCCATTA